ATCTATCACAAAGACTATCAAAAATAAAATTTCCTAATGGCCGTTTGTTATACATAACTGAAAATGCAAAAATAAACTCGTGATTTAGAATTACGTATGGATGGAACAAAGCTCACCAAACTTTAAATGCCACATAAATCCCAAGGCTCCCAAGTTTTGAGTATTTTTTTAATTTTTTTATTGCTTAGATGGATGGACGAGCTCATAGCCCACATGGTGTCAAGTGGTTAGTGGAGCCCGTAGACATCTACAACCTAAATGCGCCATCCACCTTGAGATATAAGTTCTAAGGTCTCAAGTATAGCTACAACGGCTGCCCCACCCTTCAAACCGAAACGCATTACTGCTTCACGGCAGAAATAGGCAGGGTGATGGCACCTACCCACGCGGACTCACAAAAGGTCCTACCACCAGTATTTAATTGCTCAGCTCTAAAATCTAACAACAACTCCAAATCACTGCCGCAAAAGCTGGTCATTTAAATCAACATAAGGCATTCATTCGACAGTATCATTAAATTCATAATACGCTTTATATTCTATTCATAAGGATAATGCAGAACAGCACACACACTACACTGTTATTAACACCATTTCCGTACGAGTCAGCGCACCCGTCAGCTATAAATTAGGGTTTAGCGCGCGCTCCGTGTAATCGTTATCATTAAACTACAAATGGACATCATTAGCGGTCACGCGAACTGTCTCGATATAATTTCATTTATTTCATGCTCTAATTTAATTTTGCAAGTTCATCGTGGCCGCGTTCTCCGAATGAATTAGACTTTTTATTCTTTTATACGTTTTGTACAATATCATTTTAAAATAAAAGTTTAAAAGCAAATTTATGTTTTTTGTAGGTATGTGTAAATAAAGTGATTCAATGTATATAATAGAAGAAAACTTACCGAATATTGCATAGAAATACATACAGCACTCTAATATAATAGCACATAGGGCTTTTTAGAAGACGTTTAGATATCCTGGCTTAAAAATTCTTAAATTGAGCTAGACAGAAAAACAAGAAAATTAGTGTGGTGTGACATTAACATCGGATTTTACAAAGTTGTTCAGATAGTGTGGTGATTGAAGCCCCGTCAGGACAAGGCGTCTAAACTACTAGACATCTAATTGTACCAAAAAACTTATGCCTACTTTTGTTTATAGATATACCTACATATATTTGGGTCCTACAGAGATACTTCTGAAAGATCTTGGTGACTTTTCCTTGCAAAACACGATTAAAACTATCAAATACCATTTCACGATTTGCAAAACAATTATTTTTGCTGACCTGGCTGATTTCCGATAAATCGATAGAGAGTACGTATCGATCTAAATCGAATAAATAATTCGAATTGTTTGATTACATATCTATCTATTCCGAATATTTTAGTTTAAGTACATTGTTAATCATGAAGTCAACTTTATCTTTTAGTTAGCTCCGTTTTTAATATACTGTTTTTGTTAGGTTAAATCGATAGACTAATTAAAAACAGCCTGAGGCATGAAGACGAAGTCTGTGCTATCGTAATCGCTGGAAAAATGGAAAAAAAAAAGGTTTATAATCTCACAACAGTACATATTTTTATTCATATATTTCAGAAGCTACATAACAGGTTGGGGAAAAAGTCTTTTCGCATTATAGTATGTATGAACTTGTAATAAAATCTCTTTTAATGTGTTAATGCATCCGCCATATAGTCCTGACCTTGCAACTTCATATTTCCACCTGTTTCGGTCTCTTCAGAATTCTTTAGGCAGTGTCAGGTTAACATCACGAGAGGACTGCCAAAACCAATTGTGGCGGTATTTTGATCAGAAGCCCCAAAATTTCTATAGCAATGGGATCATGTCCCTACCTACAAGATGGCAAAAAGTTATCGAACATAATGGTGCCTACATACTTTAGTTAAATGTAAATAAACTATAATAAAAATGTTGTGAATTTTTTTTAAAAATGCGAAGAAACTTTTCCCCAACATAATATATAAATACTACGTATAATTCAACCTATAAAAGTGGACTTATGCCATTCGCTACAAATAGAGAGATAAAAACATCAAACTGTACGATTTTTACCGGATGCTACCCGCTACTTTAGATTCGTCGTACTTCTTTTTTCATATTTCGAATAAAATTATAATAATAAAGGAATTAAAAGTGCCGTGTATTTTGGTCGCCATTATTCAAAGGTGTGAGTCGTGTGTTTTTTGTTTTCATCCAAACTTGTACTTTTTTTTTAATTGAGATAGACTTCGCTTCATATTTCTTAGGTTAGATACTTGTGATTAGTTCTGATATACATATATTTTCTTATGACGATAACGCTAAATAGCTTATAGAATTAACCGAACGTTGTGAAAAAAAAACCTACTCTTATGTTTTTAGGCATTCTTAACAAATTCAAAACCAAATAGCATATGGTTTTTTTTTAAATCTAATTTTATTGTCTGTGTAAATATTGAAATAAAACGGATCTTAGACTTTTTGGCGGGAACGCGAGGAGTGAAGTTGTGTGATTTGTTTTATTTTGTCTATTTAGTGTTTCTTCGGGTTTAAATGTGTAATAATGGTGGTTTATTAACTGTTTAATACCTGTGAAATTGCACAAATGTGGGAAAATGGAACCAAGCCGCTGGACGTAACTTCTCGGGATCCTCCAAAAAGTCCACTGAAAAAATCTTAGTAAATGACCACCATTTTACTGAGATTATATTTCATCTCATATCATCTCATTTAATTTCATCCCAGTTGATGAATGTCTCAAATTAATCATCTTCATTTCATTTCACTCCATAATATCATTTTTCATAAAAATATGAATATACATTAAAATAAGACATGACTTAAAGGTCTCAGTTACCAGGTCATAAAATCACTTAAAAAAAAAACTGATCTTACGTACGTTTTAACTTTCCACTGCTTGTGCGTTTACAAGACACGGGTTCTTATAGGTATTGTTGCCGCACTTTATTTGGTATACAATAGGTCGTTTAATATCGCGTAAACTATCCAAAGACCCAGCAATAAAGTTAGTTACGCTTGTATTTGATTTATTCGTATAATATTTTTATTTACATTTTTACAATATATTCTACGACTTACAAACTCATTTGTAGGATTTAAGCATTTAATAATAACAGCTACATTCCATCGTAGCATTGTCGTTTTTATAATGAACATGATAATTCGTGACATTACTGGTGTTACTTAGAACTTAGAACTTATGCCTCAAGGCGGGTGGCGCATTTACGTTGTAAATGTCTATGGGCTCCAGTAACTACTTAACACCAGGTGGGCTGTGAGCTCGTCCACCCATCTAAGTAGTAAAAAAGAAATCTGTGGAAGTTCTGTTTAGCTTCAATTAACATCTATAATAACATTTTCGCGTTCTGGTATATCATTCGTACTGGACTTACAAACAGTTAAAATTTATTTATCCACGCAATGCCCCCGATACAACAGCTTAGAGTAAATTTCAGTAAGTCGATCGTTCACACATTAGCCATGCCTTGCTCCGAATACACGGAAAGAAAGCCTGCTTCGCACAATGATTAATAGTCATTATAGATTCGTGAAAGACAATTTTGATAGGACTAGGTTAGGTAGCTGGGTCGCGAATTGCGATACTAGTTTGTTCATGCAGACAAAATGGTTTTCATTTAAATTTTTATATAATTCGTGAAATTATTTTTAAGCCAAGATAGAAGTTTTAAGTAAAATTTTGGTTTTTGAACCGATTATCTTTAAGCTACATAGCCGTAGATTTGCTATTACAATTCACACTATTCATTGACTTGTATCTATGTAGGTGACGGAATCTAACAATTTCATTTATTGCCAACTTCAAGACGTCCTTATAGCTTAAAAATTTGCTGACGTATCAAAGTCTGATGACAATACAGTAAACTTTGGCACAGTGATATCATCACATCATCATCACAATAAAAAGATATAATCTTAAATTCATTAAAAGCATTAACGGTAGGCACCGGCTTGGCTCTGCCCCTGGCATTGCCGACATCCATGAGCGACGGTAACCACTTACCATCAGGTGGGCCGTATGCTCGTCTGTCTATATATACATCATATAATCTAATGAATGCAAAATTTATTTTGAGTTTAGACGTTTATTTTAAAAAATAGCGTAGCTCAAATGGTGCTTTTTGAGAATAAAGATATGTACCTCATACAGGAAAACTTTGTTTTTGTAACCAACCAAATAAATTGAAAGAAGTTTTAGTAGATTGTCCATCCTAGACTTACCGTACAAACAAAAAACCCTCTTCACGAAAATTCACGGTTACTTTTTTATATTAAAAGACGGACCGAGTTTTCTAGAAACTGTTTTAAATTAATACCTAAGCGGTAACATTATTTTGGCCGATTAGTTCTAGAGTCATCAGCCGACGATGACCATTCATCACGACCATTCATAATTGCTCTGAGAGCATATTTTCAGGTACAGAATTACCATTTCACAAACTTAATCGCACGTCTACGTTTCTTCTCTAATAGAAAAGACAAAAGCGTAGATTTAGATTTAGATTTAGAATATTTAATATACAACTCCTAGGTGCAATTATTCAACTATTTGTGCCCGAACAATCATTGCAAAAGATGTCGAAAAAAGACGATCAATAAACAATTTAAAGAACTTATTATTGCAGGGAAATGTACTTTTTTCAAAAAAAAATTTACAAAAATACTTAGGAAGATGAAAATTATATGCCTTCACAGTTTTGTAAATGAAAGAACGCGATATTATAAGCAAAACAAAATTACATAAAAAATATATGTATTATATTCCTTAACTTAATTTTCTTTATCTAATTTACTAATATTTGAGGCCAGTACGCATTGTAATTACATAACAATATTAAACCTTTTTTCACGATGCCCGAAATAATTTTTAACAATCGTTACGCAAAAAAAAAAAACAAAAAAAAGTAAAGAACCTAAAATTTAGTTTCTTATATAATGTTCTGTTTGCACTAGGTGTTCATACTGACCAGACGGAACACACACTGGGAACTGCGCAGGAGTACAAAGGTGGTCTTCAGGCCTTACGCAGACACAGCGGTGCTGTAAGTACTTACCATATATCATCGTTAACACTTCTAATCTGCCTATATGCCGCTCAGTCTTTACAACCGATAAACCCATACGCACACTCGGAGCCAATAAATAAACAACAGACGAAAAATTACAAACGACCATCTAGCCTCCTTTTTATTTTATTTTTTTCTACCTTTGCCGGTAACCCCGAAGTAGCCAGCTTCACCGAGCGAGTAGGTGAGCTCACTGGGCTCTAACCTGACCAATTGTTAACACTAGCCCTATTAAGAGCAGTGCTTCATAGAATCTACCAGCGGATCGTAATCGCGACCCACTGAGAAGGTCCGGTGAGAAACTCAGTTGGCTGTGTCTGAGGGAAGCCTAGTGCTATATGAATCAGAGATTGATACTCAAACTTATATACGTATTATATAAACACAAAAATGAAAGAGATTATAATGCGAAAATTAATGTTAATGGATTAGACTTTTTATGTAATCGTCATTAGAATATGGTATAACTCATTTATTGTTTCATGAAGTCGCAACTATAAATAGTACCTACATGAATTGACAAATTTAATCAAAAACATTTTTTCTAAAACAAATCTTTAATATCTACAATACGTTCTGTCAGATGAAGTCCTAGCTCATGTTATTAAATTAATTTAATAACATTACCTTGGTACTTGAACGACACGAGAACAGGGTCGATTACCTCTAATTTTAAATTACATTACCGGCTTACAAAGTGATAGCCTATTACCGTCGCATTGTCGGAGGAATACTGCCATGATTGGGTGAAGTGCACACAATGAGACGTTGAAATAGGACGGGCGTGATAGAATCCAGATCGCGGACCCATACTTTGAAAAAACATAGGAAAGATTACCACACAACTAGAATTATTCCGTAAGATCTAATTTGTCACACTGATAAGATAAATATTACGTATAATGTTTAAAGACAATGAAATATGAACGAGTGACATGTTTTACTCGGAATTTGTTGCCTCAATAAAAGCAATTTTATTAAGTGACTAGCTGACCCGGCAGACTTCGTAGTGCCTCAATCGATAAATAAAAGACCTAAACTTTTGGATAACATAAACATAAAACAAACAAAAGGAATCCGTCCGACACATCAAAGGAAAAACAAAATTATTACTTTTATTTAATTCCGAGCATTTTCATATTTATCTACCCTTTAAACCCTCTCTGGACTTTTACCAATAACTCAAGACCAAAATTAGCCAAATCGGTCCAGCCGTTCTCGAGTTTTAGCGAGACTAATGACTAGCAATTCATTTTTATATATACAAGATAATGCTTAAAGACAATGAAATATGAACGAGTGAAATGTTTTACTCGGAATTTGTTGCTGCAAAAAAAGCAATTCATATTTATTAAGTGATGAGATTTAGTCATTGTATGAATTCTGAGGATGACATTTTTTTCGCTAGGAGCGCAATAAGCCCCAAAGGACATTAGAAGCGGAACCAAGCGAAGCGGACGCATCTCAAGAGCAAATAGAACAAGAATACTTAGACAAAGAACTAATTCCTGAACCGTGGGAACTAAACAACACAGCCCGAGCCGGCAGAGAGATGCTTTTCTTCAACAGGGTGCCCAAAGTCGGAAGTCAGACCTTCATGGAATTATTAAGACGACTCGCCATCAGAAATCAATTTGGTAAGATATTTTTTTATAGAACTGAGTTGTTGTAGAAAAAAAAAAGAACTTACCTCCTACTTGTTGCTTGTGACTTTGTTCGCATAATATTCAACATTATTGGTCTCAGGTAGTTACAACGGCTGCCCAGCCCTTTAAACCGAAACGCATTAAGTACTGCTTCACGGCAGAAATAGGTTGCGTGGCGGTACCTACCCGTGTGGAATCACAAGAGGTCCTACCACCAGTAATTACGCAAATTATAATTTTGCGGGCTTAATTTTTATTACACGATGTAATTCCTTCACCGTAGAAGTCAATCGTGAACATTTCTTGAGTACTTAATCCATTAGAAAGATTTGATACATGAATACTCTTTGTTAATACGTCCACTTCTGGGCACAGATCTCCTCCAAGTATTGTCACCATGACCGGTCTTGCGCAACAGCTAATTCTATTCAATAGAACAACGCACTGTGATTGCACTGTATATTATTGTTTTCCAAACAAAACTAAAAACGGCTTAGAAATAATTCAATTATACTACATACCATATACTTTAGTAGTAGGCAGCGGCTTGGCTGTTCCCCTGGCATTGCTGACGTCCATCAGCGACGGTCTCACCATCAGATGGGCCGTATGCTCGTCTGTCTACAAAAGCAATAAAAAAAACCCTGTATCCAACATTATTTTCGCGTATATTTATATTCGCGTATATATTCATCCCAGAATACGTATTTATCTCTTCGTTCTGTAAAGGTTTCCACCGTGACGCGGTGCAGCGTGTAGAAACGATTCGTCTGGCCCCCGCAGACCAGCAGCTCCTCGTGAGTCTGGTATCGGCTCACGCGCCGCCCGCTTCCTACATCAAACACGTCTGCTATACAAACTTTACAAGGTAATTATTCAGTGTGTATTTAAATAAACTAGAGGTCCCGCAGTAGTGGAAATTCGACTATAATTAATTGGAATTGTAAGTTTGTACACCATTATGATTGTGTTTTATACTTCTATAATCACAAATTTCGCCAAGGCTACACTATAAAAAAATATTAATAAAGACAAACAATATTTAATCTATTCTCAATTTGACCACAGACGCCAAGAACAAAAGTTTGACAATAAATAGTACCTATGCATGCGTGTGTGCGTCAAATACATGGTATGTAGTGTGTGTAATGTTTTCTTTATTGATTTAATGTATCTNGTGTTTTATACTTCTATAATCACAAATTTCGCCAAGGCTACACTATAAAAAAATATTAATAAAGACAAACAATATTTAATCTATTCTCAATTTGACCACAGACGCCAAGAACAAAAGTTTGACAATAAATAGTACCTATGCATGCGTGTGTGCGTCAAATACATGGTATGTAGTGTGTGTAATGTTTTCTTTATTGATTTAATGTATCTTTTATGCATTATTTTAAAAAAATATTAGCATTGTGCACTTCTTCTCTATATTCTCCATAAGTGTGGAAAATTTCATACTCCTCTGTCCGCGCAATCTTCGTAAAAAGGGGTACAAAGGGGTTAATATATAGATATATTGATACGTGAAGCAAAAACTTTGTACCCCTTTTTACGAAAATTGCGCGGACGGAGGAGTATGAAATTTCCCACACTTATAGAGAATATAGAGGAGTGCAGAATGCTAATTTTTTTTTTAAATTATCCTTTAATAATACATTAAATCAATAAAAAAACATTACACACACTACCACGTGTTTGACACACACGCATATATGTATATACTCTATGTTTACTGTAAAACTTTTGTTATTGCATAAATTTGTGGTCAAATTGAGAATAGGTTAATATTGTTTTTAACTTTAATATTATTTGTCTATAGTGTAGTCTTAGCGAAATTTGTGATTATAAAAGTCGTTGACAATAGAACCATAATAACGTTCAAACTTATAATTTCAATTAATTTTAGGTAATCGAATTTCGACTACTGCGGGACCACTAGTTTAAATAACTATTTAACCGGTTACAAGTCACGCACGGTCTACCGGCTCTAAATTAGGAGTACCTCAGAGGTGGATTATCCGTAAGGCAAACTAGGCACTTGCCTAGGGGCGTGTAGTTACAAGGGGCGCGCGAGCTCAGAAATTTTAAATAAATAAAGAAAATAACATATCGACGATTAAGAACTCAGTGCTGATCTATAATCTAAATCTATAATAGATTATATTGCACAAGCATCGATATACTCGTATAAGCAATATTGCGGGTTTGTTTGTATTTCATTCGCGCATTAGCGTAAGTACAAGGGTCCTGGTCTACTAAAGTCTAGGGTTTGATGATACAACGTCATCATAATTGCAAAAACAACTAGTTAAAATTTGTAGTATTATGATGGCCATTTATGGCCTCTCTAGACCTTTAATCCGCCGCTGGAGTACCTGTATTTGGGGAACCAGAGGCTGTAGTATACACTTATATACGTTTAAATATCTACATATATAGATAATAAACACTAAGACAAAGAGTAAACATTATCGTGTTCTTCACACGAATGTTTGCCCGATGTTAGACTCTCGGCGCTACAGTCAGGGGCGCTAGCGAGTCGGACAAAATAAAACAACTGCACGGACGACTTCGTGACCACGAAAATCTTAAAGTATCCGAAACATCCTAAACATTGAGTGCTCAACTAATTCCTCAATAGATGTGAAATAGAAGTGTCAATAGACGGTTATAAGTGCTGGTTGATGTTGATAGAACTACAACATTAAGAACTGAGCTTAGACGTGTAGGAAAGACCCCATTTCGGCACACCAATGATCTGATAACTCATGGCCTGGCTGATCAGCGTCTCTGCTCACATACAGACATCAGAAAATACTCTAATTCGTGGGTGGCCGCAAAAAACGCATACTTCTGCCGTCAAGGTATTCGAACTCTGCCAGATAAATGGGAAAAGCTGTAGCTAGCAATCTATCTAAATAAAATGAATTCGAAAAATGATGTTCGTTAGTCTCGCTAAAACTCGAGAACGGCTAGACCGATTTGGCTAATTTTGGTCTTGAATTATTTGTGGAAGTCCAGAGAATGTTTAATGCTTGGAATTAAATAAAAATATTAATTTTGTTTTTCCTTCGATGTGTCCTCCCTCCGTCAAACGGAGTCTTTTTGTTTGTTTTAAGTTTATTTTAGCAATTTTTCATTTAAAAAAATTATCGACACCTTAACTGTTGAACGTATCATATAATGACGATAACAAAACGCAAGATTAAACCGTAATAGCAGTTTTAATTATGTTTAAGACTCGTAATCCGGTTCGTGCGTAGTTGGAATAACCCCTTAGGCTACCAACGATTAAGGTAGAAGAAAAAATTTCGCACAAACCGAAGAATATTACTATAGTGTTTAAATGATTAAAATATTTATTTACTCGTAAAGAAGTTCTGTCGTAATTTATTATTTTCGTAGGTCTGTATTCGGTATTGTTAATTAGCATAACGTTAAAATGAGTTTTAATATCTCGAATTTCAACAGACTCGAGGAAACAAGATAAAAAAAAAGTGTAAACGTGAAAATACACTAAATCAAATGCGGATTTCAAGGTTAAGCTAACAGAGATACAAACTATAAGCTAAAGTGGCTTTTTGGTGCAATTATAAAGTAAGCTTCTGACTTAAAAAAAAAAGAGTTTTTTGTATTACTTTAAATTTTAACTTCTTATCCAAATGTTAATAATAACAGAGACATCATATTACAAATAAAATAATATTAAATAATTTGGTACACATAAAGTCCGTCAATACTGTATATAACAACATTTTTATATAGATTGTCCATACTATAACTAATATCTATGTAAAGAGGAAAGATTTGTTTGTTTGTATTGAATAGGCTCCAAAACTACTGAACCGATTTGAAAAATTCTTTCACTTTTCGGAAGCTACACTATTCCCTTGTGACATAGGCTATAATAATCTTTTTTGAAAAAATTAGGGATCCTTACTAAAAATCTAATAATGTAACCAAAGGTGTAAAAAAATTACCCAAAATATTCTTTACATCGCGTGCCCTGCGAAAACTATTGTTGATAGAATAAAATAATGTACTGCGACTTTGTAGAACACATTATTATTTACAAAAACTGTCGCGGCAGCTTATGTCTAACTATAATAGTTATGCCGCAATATGTGTTCTTTTATTAAAAAAAAAACAAAACAACGTCAAATATTAGTTGAAATTTATACGCAAGTTGGTTTGTTGGTTATATTCTCACGTCTTTGGGTGTCTTTTGAGCAGCACGGATAGGTATTACTTACTACCCGCCCTATTTTTGCCGTGAAGCAGTAATGGGTTTCGGTTGAAGGGTTGGGTAGCCGTTGTAGTGTATGACCTCATGTCTGAAGATGGGCGGCGGCATATTCGTTGAGGATGTATATGGGCTCTGATAACCATTTAACTCCAGGTGGGCAGCAAACTCGTTCAGACGTCTAACAAACAAAAAAATATTAGTTAATCGACTGATCATTGTGATTATTTAATAAATTCAGTCAGGGGTATAAATATAGACTAATACTCAAGTATTTTTGTTCTACAGAAACGCGACTAAAGCCGCGGCTAAAAGCTTATTTTAGTACAATTTCATATAAACGTTACTTTTTGTTCTTAACGTGAATCGTAACTAAAGTAGGTGACCACGATTTATCTTCACGATTGACGTCTTAAAGAAACGCCGCAGAGTATCCATCAATCAATACGATTCCGAAAATACCTATTTGTTAAGCTTCAATAAATAAACGTTAAAGTAATATGATTAATGTTTTCGATTGACGCTAATTGCGAGACTAACATTAGTACAGACGTGAAATTAGAACTTTTTTCGTGGGACCCTTACATTCATTAGAAAATTGACTTCAATTTTATTCTTATTTAAAATTAAAAAGTGCATGTGTTAGTTATACTCACGTCGTTGGAGTTCTACCGCTCTTTTTAAACTAGGCTCTAGACCCCTCAGCTAATAGTATAAACCCAAGATGCTAACATCTTGAATATAAAAATATAGTCGGCTTTTATTATCAAATGACTAAAATTACTAAAAAGTATAAAATTCAATGCTAGAGAGTCTTCGACTTTCAAATTGGTATAATATATAATGAAATAATTAAAACACTCCGATATAGTATACTCGTAAACAGTGTTGCTATACTAAGTACAAAAATTTCATTATTGTATAGTAATCGGCAAACTTCTTGAGCAAATGACCTTGACTGCGCAGAACCGAATTTTAGATCACTTTGGTGGTGAGGGTGAGGCGCGACGGCAGGGGAAATCGTATCGAGCGCGTTATTGGTAGATCAGTCGAACCTTGCGTCCCGCACCGCGCCCTCATTCCGCTTGCTCCCAAAAGTACGCTTGCGTACAGTGGAAAGTCTATCGTTATTAATCGTTAAGTTATTTGTTATAATTGCTTGTGGACTTTGTTGCCATTGCTATTTGTTGAGTGTTTGTTGATTTTTTATAAAACATACACTATGCCGTGACAAACTGGTGTAGTACTTAAAAGAAAGGGTAGAAAATTTGTGTACGACGTATATTGCTTCATTATAAAACAGGGGAAGAATGATATGGAAAAATTAAAACAGACTTCGGAAGCAACAAAAACATCAGTGAGTACTGTTAGGTGCATTATTAACGAAGCTAAAGGCTCTGGCTTGCTCGCCGTGTTTCGGACTCCGGGTAAGAAAAGATCAGGGAAGAAGAAAGTTACCGGAATGGATAGTTTCGTTCAATCTGTAATAAAAAGATGTAATCATAATAACTACATAACAAGCAGCGAAACTCCGTACCGTAGAAAGGCTTCGAAAAATTTAAAGAAGATATAAATTTTAATGGCTCGGAATGAAGCTTACGACGAATTATGAAAGAGCTAGGCTTCAGATGGAAAAAAAGAACAGAAAATAATCGGAAGCTGGTAAATGAAAAAAGTAACATTCGATTACTACGAATCGAATATCTTCAAAAAATAATTAATTATAGACAAAAAAGAAGACCGAATCGACCGAGTTGTAAACTACGCCGATGAGCCCTATGTCGACTCATCACGATGATAGCGACTCGGGTGATGAAAACAGTGATGATGATGATGGTCAAGATTATGATAACGAAAAAAAAATTACAAATACCAGCTTCGCTTCAACTGAACCAAGACCTGGCAACAGCTCTAGTTTTGACTTAATAGAAGGAATATCTATTTTACCCCAAGATTAAATTATTACAATTATTAACCTATATGTTTTGTTGATGTTCTAATAAATATATAAATAAATACATATGTTGATTTTAATAATTTAATAGCATTATGACGCAGAGTAAATAATGTTTTTGCACGTGAGTGTACCATGCGCAAACTTACCCCCACTACGTCAACAAATGCTCAAGAAGTTTGCCGGTTATTATACCTATCAATTGTTGTACTAGATGGCAACAGTTCATTTTTATTTGGACTGGTGCATAAATCGCGTTACCGTCATCCCAAATATTGTGATTAGGAGCTAGATTTATAGGCGTCTAAACCTCTAAGCAAATTAACCCATCATGAAGCTCCAACTTAATTCTAATGTACAATCGATAAGTCCTAAGTCCCATATTCTCAATAGATACAATGAGTTCTCTTGTCAGTCGTAATTCTAAGATGCAAGTTTAGCGCGCGTTAAATTGCTCTATTGTTTAGTTTCATTGTCTAAACGATATCAGAAACAAAAAAAAAAACATGTTTTGGATGTCCCTATTTGTTAGCGTACAACAACATTACTTACGTTGACCTTGTGTTCTCACAATGGCATGATCTGTTTGATTATAATTGTACAATTGCATTTCACTTTTTAATTGCGAAAGTAGGGTAGAAAGATAAATGTTAGAGAAATGTTTTCATTTAATGTACAAAATTCTACATTTTTGGATAGTAATTTAAGTTTGAGAATAAAATCGGTAGATAGAAATCTATTTCCACAGAATGATTATTGAAAAAAAATCTATTTCATACTAGCTGACCCGGCAGACTTCGTAGTGCCTCAATCGGTAAATAAAAGACCTAAATTATTGTATAAAATAAACTTAAAACAAACAAAAGGAATTCGTCCGACGGGGGGGACATCAAAGGAAAAACAATTTTGTTATTTTTATTTAATTCCGAGCATTTTCATATTTATTTACCTTTTAAACCTTCTCTGGACTTCCACAAATAATTCAAGACCAAAATTAGCCAAATCGGTCCAGCCGTTCTCGAGTTTTAGCGAGACTAACGAACAGCAATTNAAAATAAACTTAAAACAAACAAAAGGAATTCGTCCGACGGGGGGGACATCAAAGGAAAAACAATTTTGTTATTTTTATTTAATTCCGAGCATTTTCATATTTATTTACCTTTTAAACCTTCTCTGGACTTCCACAAATAATTCAAGACCAAAATTAGCCAAATCGGTCCAGCCGTTCTCGAGTTTTAGCGAGACTAACGAACAGCAATTCATTTTTATATATAGAGACTAGCTGACCCGGCAAACATTGTTTTGCCATATATAAGATTTCTAGGGAATTTCTAGTGTAGAAAAAAAAACTAACTTATTGTAAGTGTGTAAGGATGTGGTAAATGAGTGAAAGAGGTATGTAGTGCTGTGAACGATGAGGGAATATATAATAAAAATAACAAAACCTCATTCAACCACATAATACCTCATCATAACAAAAAAAAAAGTCCAAATAAAAAAAAAATATGTTAGGGGTGGACAACCCTAATCACTTAGGGGTATAAAAAAAAGATAGTAGCCGATTCTCAGGCTTACTGTATATGCATAAAAAATTTCATGAGAATCGGTCAAGCGATTTCGGAGGAGTATGGGAACGAACATTGTGACACGAGAATTTTATATATTAGATAAACTGAAATTTTCAATGACAGTATACCTACTGGATCCTGAAAGAAAACTATTTCTGTATTAGTGTAAAGATTAATTATATATATTGCTTAAATGGGTTGTCGAACTCACTACTCAACTGGTTTTAAGTGATTACTAGAGCCCATAGACATCAAAAACGTAAATGCCGCCACCCACCTTGAGACTCAGATTCAACTACTGAGTTAAGCGTCTTTTTATGTAGTATAACGATTGCGTCACCCTTCAAACCGAAACGCATTACGGTTTCATAGCAGAAATAGGCAGTGTGGTGGTAACTACCCATGCGGACTAACAAGACATCCAGTAATTATGCAAATTATATTTTTTGCGGGTTTGCTTTTTATTACGCGATAGTATTCCTTCATTGTTGAAGTCACACATGTGTTAAACGCGTTACGAAAATTGGTACCTGCCTACCTGCAGGATTCGAACATCGGTCGTCTTATCCTTTAGGCCGCGACGACGTAATACAGATTCAGAAATAGTAAAACTGCGGTAGGTTGCGGCTTGGCTGTGACCTGGCATTGCTATCTATCTATGACCGACGGTAACTACTCACCATCAGTACGCTCATATGCCTACTAGAAGAATAAAAAAAAACTAATTACAATTTATTAAACGCACGTCATTAAATTAAAAAGTCGTATGCTTAAATTGGATCCGTCTGAAGAGCAACTAATTGTTTCTAGTTTTAAAAGCTGTGCTATTAATGAAAGTTTTAATTTTGAAATACTCTTCTGGCTTTAGGTTTGGGTTCCCATCGCCGATATATGTGAACGTGGTAAGGGACCCCGTGGAGCGCGTCATCTCTTGGTACTACTACGTGCGCGCGCCGTGGTACTACGTGGAGAGGAAGAGAGCCTTCCCAGATCTGCCGTTACCTGACCCAGCCTGGCTGAAAAAGGTAAGACTGTTATTTGATGTTTATTTTGACAGTGACAAAGTTTAATATATTCAAGTGTATGTTTGAAGATGACAGTTACGTTGTGATGTCTGCTATCTTCCTGATGTCTGCTATCCTAAATTGTTCTGTAAAATTATAAAATCATTCGAAAACGTTCACTTATAACTTAAATATAATTTAAATCTATAGAACGAACGAAATGTATTTATTTTAATAAAATTTGTTGCATCGAAAATCGGTTTATCGGTTTAGTAGCCTTTCTTTTTACCATTACCATCAGTCACGTACTCTTCGTCTTGACTATTCTGTTGTTTGAACCTAAAAAAGAGGAAATTAAACTTGCAAGTTCGCTGTCGTGAACACGCTGCAATTGACAGAGTGTTGTTTTTATCGACTTAAGTCGGTTTCTCTCGCTTATTTGTAAAACGAACCGTTCATTTTGGTGCCACTGTTTGAATTTTTTTTCACACGATGTGACTAGTAAAATATAACGATTGGATTACCGTAAAAAATACGGAATCGCCGTAAAATTTAAATCGATGTAGCTGAAATAAATAAAAAAAACTATTAGATATTTGTTTTGTTGAATCGAGCAATTGGAGGCTTAACACAACCCTTTTTTTTTTTTTTTTTTGGTCAGGAGGAAATCGCCAGACTTCCGCCCTCCACTGGGGATAGAGGGCGGAGCATGTCAGAGTCGAACTGACTAAAACCTCCTGTCGCTCAACAACCAACGTCCAAACCTCGCATGAGACAGAACTCATGAAGAGGCAAAGGGGGGAAAGTGAAGCGTTTAGTGCGGAGCACATCTCTCCCANTAGATATTTGTTTTGTTGAATCGAGCAATTTGGGATTTAACATAACACAGGTGAATACTTAAAATATACAATTGAACACATTCACACTTCTTTATAAGGTTTTGTGGTTAAATAGACGTGGTGTGTGTATTATGTTTTCTGTTTATCTATATTTTATTCCTACCTATGCTGATAGCCTTGAGAGGCTATTTCAGCTTACCCTAGCGTGTGTAGGTGAGCTCACGGGGCTCAAACCGGAGAGTTGCTAACACTGACCCTAGCAAGAGCAGTGCTTCATAGAATCTACCAAAGGATCGGAAGCGCGACCCACTGACAAATTCCGGCGAGAAACTCAGTGGGCGGTTTTCTGGAAACGCGATTTTTATGTATGTAAACAAGACTGACGTATTGTGTTTCAAATCGACTATAAATAAAAAAAGACTTGCGCGATATAACCGCTACTATTTCGTACTGCGAAACTTATTTTAATAGGATTATTGTGTTTCATGACCCGTTTTAATTGTAATGAAACCAGCGAAGTTTAACGCTATTTTCTAAATCAACAATATAAAAATGGTAATTTTTTTGAATGTTTTATTATAATTAAATATGCGTGAAATATACTTTTGAATTTTATAATTAGTTTTATCAAGATATAACAGAACTATTAATGGTGGTCTGAATACTTAATTCCTTTACATACATATCGACGCTTGAAAGGCAAACATGACTAAGCGACAATGCGGGAACTTTACAATAGACTAATTTAAAGTTGAAATACCTGAAAACAAATTTTATTTTAACGAATCTAGCTGTAGTAGAATCTAACTAGTAGCTGTAGGATTGAAATGATTTTAATAGAAATATATATTTTTTGTGCGTCGAATATGTTTATTGCCTATCATTTATGTACAAAGCAGTTATTGTCGCTTAGTCACGTTTGCCTTTCAAGCGTCGATATGTACATATGTACGAGTATTACGGTATGCAATTGTTTAAGCGGCCCAACATAATTCGTTATGCTTAACTACCGAATCTAATTCAAGAATGATTTACCGGTGAATATCGACGTTCGATCCCGTACTTCAACAATTAAATTCCAATAAACTAAATTCCTCAATGAAATTCAATTAAAATGACTAATTGAATTATATCTGGCATCATTGAACTTTCTTTACAGCGCGCCGTATTGTGCTCAAAACAAACGCTATGCGAAAACTAGCTATTATGCATAGGCGTTAGCGAATACTAGCTATTATACTCGTAGTACATAGGCGTTATGCGTATACTAGGCACATAGGTGGATTAGATAAATATCGCAATGCCAATGCGACCATCCACTTTAAAACACAAGGTCCAAGTCTCCATTATACCGTATAATGGCTATAGAACTGAGCAGGATTCGTAAAGGCTTGCGATACGTCCTACCACCACTAATAACGTACGTAATAATTTATGCGGGTTTTATTTTCGTTACACTATGGTCCCTGGAAATTGTAATTAAATAAATAAATAAATATTTACTAACAGTCACGCCACGTTAACTGGTCCCGTGATAAGTTCGTAAAGAACTTGTGTTACAGGTACCAGATAACGGAAATAAATATAAGATTTTTATTACACACATACACATATTTAATATACATCCATAACCCTGGAAAATACATTTATATTTATCATACAAATATCTTCCCTTGGCGGGATTCGAACCCGCGACCCCCTTGTGTAGTGACCATGTCACTTACCACTACACCAGACGGCCGTTAAAGGCCATTGAAAAGGTGTGGTAACAAAAAAAACTGCCTGCGGGATTGTAACTATTTTTAACGCCGTCATAGTCGGTACGCCTCATACGAGCTCACTATGCGTCTTACTTACTACATATTTAAGTTGATTTCAGGATATACATACTACTTTTTTTGTTCTTGTTTCAGTTGGATAAGTCGATTTTTATTTTAAGAACAAAAGCTGTTTAATGTAATAGTTAAATAGGTTCTCCGTTATTCTGTAGACGTTTGTGCTCTCGACCCTGTGTTACTGATTATTTGGTCACGAAGCACGATTGTGTCCAACTGACACGGCACGAATAGAATCGATGCTCACGTTCTCATCGGCAGCGACCGGACGAGGATTAGGTCGTATCCAAATTCAATAGCAATCCTGTTGACTGAAATATTTTAGATCTGTGTCAAAAAAAATTTTTTTGGCAAACGTATCTACGGTTTTAGTAGTTAAAGAATAATATTAAGGTGCTCATTACTAATTACTGGCAGCACTATAAAATATTCTTCCTATTTAATTTCAAACATTATTCTGTTGTGAAACGACTTCCCTTTAAAAAAAATTAATCTATTATGATTTGCATAACCTATAAGCTGTTGTAATTGTTTGGTAGAAAATAGGTGTAATTTTTTTTCTCTCCTTTAATAAATATAATAATTCGGTTCATGATTGAAAACTGGGTTGATTGCGCCTAAGCTGTAGTCTAGGTAGATAGGTAAAATTCATCGATAATAATTTTAATCTGACAACAAAATGAAATTCATATTATTTCTCAACAATAGGCATTCCTCCAGTTGCGAAGTAAACATTTGCATGTAATCAAACGAAACGAAAAAATATATTATTAATCGTTATCTTTACTGGTGATAGGACCTCTTGTGAGTCCGTACGGGTAGGTACCACCACCCTGCCTACTTCAGCCGTGAAGTAGTAATGCGTTTCGGTTTGAAGGGTGGGGTAGCCGTAGTAACTATACTGAGACCTTAGAGTTCATATCTCAAGACGGGTGGCGGCATTTACGTTACAGATGTCCATGGGCTCCGTTAACTACAGGTGGGCTGTGAGCTTGTCCACCGATCTATGCAAGAAAAATAATAATTATACCAATTACAATTATCATTTTCATGACTAGATACACACCCCTCGGTAATTTTGTCTAGACTTTCTCAGCCATAAAGCAATCCCACATGCTAGTCTGAAGAGATATTCTTTATTCTAATACAGTTGACTAACGTCTTACTGTACTATTCAATTTAGTTTAGTCTTTAAGAGCATAAGTACGTAAAAATCTCAAATTTATCCTTTGATGAAACCGGCAATAACTGTAGGGCTTATTATTTTGAAGTAATTGCTGTTTTCAATTTAGTTTCATCAAAAAAAAGGTTCGTTTTAGATTTTTACATATGGTCATAATGACTAGACTGACAGGTCAGTAATAACTATACCGACAGCTTGCACTAGGTTATTACAATACCTATTATACTCGTATTTATGTAACAATATGATCTGGTTCATTATTTACCCCTTGACCATATATCTAATCTAATATACGATTTTTTTTATGTAGTTTAATTCGCGTATTGTATTGACATTGTTTTTGGGGGTTAAACTGATCTTAAGATATACGAAGAATAGTTAATATACTCTGCACGATCGCGTGATATTTTGACTGTGTCTGATTATTGTCACACTCTTAATTTTTTAAATCAAGGATTAACTTTATAAAGCCTAAAGATTCTTTATCAAAATGAAACACTTTTAATTTGAGTTCGTCACATTTCTGCTGTATCATTTTAGCAACGATATTGTATGTTATTCTGTTTATGGTTTGTTGTTAAAATTATAGTACGAAACACGCTTTGGACCACCACGTAGTCCTTATGACTGTAACAATCTCGTCTCGTCGACACGATGAAAAAATAAATTAGTTTTATCTCAGCAAAAACTTTGACGTGGCAATTAGAATGTAAAAAAAACGTTCAGTGTTTCAGAACTATGACCAGCCATTACCGATATACTAAAATAACTGTACACGCAGAGAAATAATGAAGCTATAATAACTTCATCTATTAATTGGCCTCTAAGTCCTCTAGGCCTCTTTAGGATAATGATCATGCTTATTTTTGTAAACTGTCTTAGTATCTGAAATTGACAGAATAGATGGTTAGCGCCCTTGACTGCTGGGCTGAGGGTCGTGAGTTTGATTCCCACATCGGGTATACATTCGTATGTACATTGTAACAAGGCTGTCTGCTATTTGTCTGGGTATTTATATCTAAGTATATATAAAAATATATATGTGAGTAAGATGGAACTTACTGTTATCGATACTTTGATTCTTGACAGGCGTACCTAAGAGTATTCTCTTGCAATAACATACAACAGCTTTCAAAATAGTGCTTCAAATTTTTTAACAAAGAAAAATATTATTGCTAATGATCTCTTCTTTGGTTTTTTTATTCCTGTCTTTAATGTATGTTGTAAAGATTAATGTTTCTGTTACGTTGGCACGGTAATTAACTAACCCATAATATTGTACCTTTTAAGTTGGACGTGTATTCGTGTTTTTTTCTAGTCTAGGCTTTAAGCACATTTTTAATAGTATTTCTTCCACGGCGCTCCGATGTTATAAATTATATTGTGTATTCCCGCACTATTCTCCGCGTAGGTGTCATAGATGGACAGGGTATCATTAATAACAAGGAAAATTGAGGCACACCAATATTAGGCATTATAACGGAGATTGCACTTTATGCATGCCACTATAAGGTTTCATTTCTATTGCAGCTTTATTTAGTAATACTACTAGTATCGTTAAGTTTAGTTATTTTTTTATTGCTCAGTTGGGTGGATGAGCTCACAGCCCACCTGGTGTTAAGTGGTTACTGGAGCCCATAAACATCTACAACGTAAATGCGCCACCCACCTTCAGATGTAAGTTCTAAGGTCTCAAGTATAGTTACAACGCCTGCCCCAGCCTTCAAACCGAAACGCATTACTGCTTCACGGCCGAAATAGGCAGGGTGGTGGTACCTACTCGCGCGAACTCAAAAGAGGTCCTACCACCAGTAATTACGCAAATTATAATTTTGATTTTTATTACACGATGTTATTCCTTCACCGTGGAAGTCAATCGTGAACATTTGTTGAGTACGTATTCCATTAGAAAAATTGGTACCCGTCTGGAATTCGAACACCCGTGCATCGCTCAACACGAATGCACCGGACGTCTTATCCTTTAGGCCACGATGACTTCAAGAAGTTAAGAGTTTTCGTTACCTTATATGCGACAAAATGAAAGGCACCATGTGTATGGACATTAAAATTTTATTTGACGTATAAAAAATATACATACGATGTCCTTGTTATTTTTTAAGGATTTTGAAACCTGCGTATTGAGCGGAGATCGCGAGTGTCAGTACATCGAAGGCGAAACGCACGAAGGCATCGGGGACCATCGTCGACAAACCCTGTTCTTCTGCGGACACGAGGCCCAGTGCACGTAAGTGACGGTTTTAGTGATGCAGGTGTATTAGGATTATACCAGTAGTCCTTCAGTAATCGAAATTCAACTATAATTAATTGAAATTATATAATAAGTTTGAGCATTATTATGGTTCTATTGTGACTACATATTATAAAGACTATTATACTTCAATAATCACAGATTTCGCGATGATATAGTTATAGGCAAATGATATTAAGACAAACAATATTAATATATCCTCAATTAGATCACAGACTAACAATAAACAAAAGAGTATGTGTATGTGTCCAATATAATTTTTACGCATAACTTTAAAAATATATTAGCATTATGCACTCCTTCTCTATATTCTCTATTTATTTATTTCATTTACTTCAGATTTTGCATCCATATTACATTCTATAAGTGTGGGAAATTTCATACTCCTCCGTCTGCGTAATTTTCGTAAAAAGGGATACAAAGTTTTTGTTTCACGTGTTAATATTATATAAATTCTCACGATTTTGTATCACGGACTTGTCAGTATCTACATGTTTAATGGTCGGAACCGTTAGCAGTGACGGATTTAGGCTTGTTGCGGCCCTAGGCCCTATTTATCGCGCCACCCCTAATGTTAGAATAAATTTTATTACTTTTCCGATTAAATATATTATTATTTTAAATTTAAAATAACTATATATTTTTTTTTAAATTAATCTAAACTCATTTTCAAAGGGGACTGTCTTTGCTTTTTTTCGTCTTTGAAAATTCGGCATTAAAAATAATTGCGGCCACTCAAATAATGCCGCCCTTATGTCTAGGCCCGAGACTCACGGGCCTAGGCGTCAATCTGTCACCGGCTGTTGGTGTTAAAACCAATTATATCTACCTCATGTCTCGACTGTCACGCTGCTTTGACTATTTGCAGTGTAGTTTCTGATTAGATAGCTCTACTTCTGCTAGATAGCTAGCTTCTGATTAGTAGTTTGATTGATGGGCCGAGGGTTGTAGTTTCGATTCCCACATCGAGCAATGATCCGTGTGAGTATTTATGTATGTATGCATTGAAATATATTTAAATACATATTATTATATCAATCTCTGGTTGCCATAGTACAGAGAACCCTAGTTTGAAGACAAACGACCTCCTGTATTTTGTTCGCAATTATTAATTTTGTTAATTGCATATATTTGAACCTCGCAGTTCCTCTTCAGTACATTTTTTGTAGTACATTTTTTGTATTTACTGCCATCTAGCGGTCATAGGAGCGGATAGAGCTAAATGACCGAAAAATTGAGAAAGTTATGAATTATTAAAATGCTAAATAATATTGTGACTGGTGAGTACATTAGACTAGTAATAGACATTAGGCATAAACAAATGATTTTCCCCGCCATCTGTTGAAATCATCAGAAATTAATATTCTCTTTTGGGAATACATATTTTGCTAGTTTATTTTACAAGGTAATTTTATTTTACAAGTTACGTACGTAATTTTTAACAACTATTTTTAGCAACAATTAACAACACTTCACCATACCCAATCCTGTGGACCGAATGGTAAATAGTCGACGTCACCCAAAGCACGTCATTACGGATCCGCCCGATCCAGTAACGATGCTTTTAGGTACCTAAACCTAAGTCGAACCCGTCACTTGCGACGAAGGGCTCCACGAGTGAATTAAGCCATAGACACAGCCCACTGAGTTTCTCGCCGGATCTTCTCAGTGGGTCGCATTTCCGATCCGGTGGTAGATTCTGCGAAGCACTGCTCTTGCTAGGGCCAGTGTTAGCGACACTCCCGCCGTGAGCTCACCTACACTTCAAGGAGAAACTGAATAGTCTCTCAAGGCTATCAGCATAGGTAGGAAAAAAAGAATAAAAAAACCCTTTTTTTTTCAAAAAGCCTATAAAAATTATTAAATACACCTCACAAAGGCACTTGGTCGCGTATAAGTCCAATGACAAATGAACTTAATCTGTCAAATGAATTCCTTAAGCGGTAAATTGATCTTATTACAATAGGAAATTTCTGTTTAATCCTCCTGTTTTTGACTGAGTACTGACTGAATCAGCCAGTACAGCTACAGACTTCCTGAGTAGGTTATCAAAATATTCTGTTTGATTATGTAAGTCTACAACTAGTTATTAAACGCCTGATGAGTATAAATAGCAACTGCGACGATTCGTCAATAGCGCATATTTTATTTATTTATTTATTTCATTTAGTTTAAATATTTTATATTTTCAGGCCGTTTAATAGTGTTGGGGCGTTGCAAAGAGCGAAACGTGTTGTTGAAGAGCAGTATGCAGTCGTCGGCGTACTAGAAGATATGAACTCAACTCTGTTGGCGTTCGAACGCTACGTACCGAGATTTTTCACAGGCGCTTCGCGTTTGTATTGGGGTATGCATGCTTACATTAGTTTTTGTAGACTAAGGAATCTTGAAATATAAGATTGAAGTCTCGACCTCAATGACACCAAGACTGAGCCTTTATTCAGAATGTATAATTGCGTCACTTTTTTTTTGAGTTGGCCCGTTCGTGAACTCAACCGGGATGAGGGAGACTTTTTAAGCGTCATCCGAGCGATTCCAAAAGAAGTCTATCTTCTCGGGAAGCGAGATTCTTCGCGAGTGACGTGGTACCTGTTCACGTGGCCTAAAACATATCCCACTGTCATTATTACGCAGCCGCATCATTACTAAATTACACTGCATAGTAATCTTTATTTTTTAAGACTAAAATATAGTTAATGGAAAATGTTGCTTCATTTGTTTTTGTCCGTCTCTCTCTCTTCTACTTTTAAAAGTGTATGTTTCTGTCTTTTTCAATCATTTTTTTTTATTGCTTAGATGGGTGGACGAGCTTACAGCCCACCTGGTGTTAAGTGTTTACTGGAGCCCATAGACATTTACAACGTAAATACGCCACCCACCTTGAGATATAAGTTCTAAGATCTCAGTATAGTTACAACGGCTGCCCTACCCTTCAAACCGAAACGCATTACTGCTTCACGGCAGGAATAGGCAGGGTGGTGGTACCTACCCGTACGGACTCACAAGAGGTCCTACCACCAGTAATTACGCAAATTATAATTTTACATACATACATTACCTACATACTTTTTTACATATATACATTACATGCTTTACGTTAATTTTTAAAATCTAATATATTCTCCTTCTATTCGCATTCTTCAATTACCAAAAGATATTGCTCACGATCGAAATGAAATGTGAAAATTTGGTAATTCACGAATATTACATATGTACTTAGAAATTAATATTTTTAATTCCAGAAGAGTTGAACACTTTCAATCGCATTAATCGAAACGCGTTCAAGCCTCCGGTCTCCGAAGCCGTCAAGCAAATCGTTCGAGCGAACTTCACAAGAGAAATAGAATTCTACGAATTCTGCAAACAGAGGCTGCACATGCAACTGAAGGCGTTGCGAGATCCGACTATAACATTGCCGACACCGACCAGAAGTTGGAGGCGGAAGAGGGAATCCAAAATAAATGACTTCAATTGAAACAGTGAGAATTTTTGTCAAACGAAATACTTGATACTAAGATTATGGTAAATTTTAGGAAATAAAGGGTTTTTAGACGCGCGATTTTAGTAGCTACGTCAACGTAATAAAATTCTGTGAATGCAGATTGTTTATGCTGCGCTTGAATCTATAAAACCTCAATTGGGTTTTTGATTAGTTTCGTATCAAAAAAATTTGTTTGTATACTCTGAGAAGTGACTATAATTCCACATTCAAACATACTTTTAACAATCTATGTACATTGATTGGCTGTCAATCGCGAACTCGATTGGCATGACCGGCTTTCGCCTCCCGCTTTGCGGGGAGGGAGGTTGAGGTCGATATTCCTACGCTCCTTATAGTCTACTGATTAATTTTGTTGCGAGATCTATCTTAAATTTACCCTTGAGTAGTCGGAACCTCATTGTTCAGAGCCTTTTTACCTGGTCGCTGTCGATCCTGCTTAGACAACAGTTATACAGTGGTGGGAGTGATTAGGGGCAAGTCAATCGATTTATAAAAATAAAAATGAATGTTCGTCTCTATTGCATTGTTTTTACTGTCATTAAAGGCATATGAGCGTACGGCCCATGTAATGGTACGTTGTCACCGTCGCTTATGCATACCAGCAATGTCAGCGGCAAGCTGCTACTAAGTGCTACTGCATTTCTAAACCATTTATCCGATTGTGATAAAACTTGTTAAAGTTGTTGTTGAGACTCCAGGGAATTTTTATTTATGTATTGCTTAGCTGGGTGGACGAGCTCAAAGCCCACCTGGTGTTAAGTGATTACTGGAGCCCATAGACATCCACAACGCAAATGCGCCATCCACCTTGAGATATAAGTTCTAAGGTGTCAAGTATAGTAACAACGGCTGCCCCACCCTTCAAACCAAAACGCATTACTGCTTCACGGCAGAAATAGGCAGGCTGGTGGTACCTACCCGCGCGGACTCACAAGAAGTCCTACCACCAGTAATTTCAAAACCGAATTTTCTAATACAACTATCCATACAATTAAAAATGGTTTTCAGTAATATCTATATATAAAAATGAATTGCTGTTCGTTAGTCTCGTTAAAACTCAAGAACGGCTGAACCGATTTGGCTAATTTTGGTCTTGAATTATTTGTGGAAGTCCAGAGAAGGTTTAAAATGTAGATAAATATGAAAATGCTCGGAATTAAATTAAAATTACAATTTTGTTTTCCCTTTGATGTCTCCCCGTCCGACGGATTCCTTTTGTTTGTATCTTTTATTTATCGATTGAGGCACTACGAAGTCTGCCGGGTCAGCTAGTATGCAATAAAAGCAATACATTTATGTCCAAGATTGAATTAAAACGTGAAACATAATATGTAATGCTGTCAATGGATAGCATATTTTTTATTTTCTTGCTTTTTATAATCTAAAACACACATATCGTTGAATAACTCATATGTATGATTTAGTTTACAACAAAATCTTTATTATTTTATTGTTATTATTGTACGACGTAACGAACACAAAGACTTTCAATAAGATTTTGTTAAAATGATAAGTTGTGAATATTAAATCCTTTATCTAATATTTAGTATTAATAATTATGTTAAGTTCGTTTTGTAGCAGCAGTAATGTAAATAATACTTTTAGTATAATAATTTATATCTCTTTTTGTGATTGCTTTGTTCTAATTTAAGGTAAAAATTATGAAATTAATTAATAATTATTTATGTTGTGACCCGTTTCGGTTAGTTGAAAGATATTCTAATATCGAATGCAATAAAATAATGTCACTATGCGAAATCAGTTTTATTTATATTTTTTACAAATACAATCTTAACAAATAACCTATCTTGCTCAAAGATGTACTAAGATGTAGTAACGCTTTGTGTACGTACTATAAGAGATTATTAAAAAGAAACATGAAGTATATTATATTGTGTTAAAATGCTTCTTTTATGTTAAAAATATAGCATGAATATAACTTATGTGTCAAAAACTTAGTTTACTAAGCGATATGCTAATGGTGAATTTCTATCTCTATCTCTCTCTATTTCTATCTCTATCTATATCTACATCTCTATCTATACGTGCTAATCTAACCTAAGCGACCACTCGGCACTAGGTGCGATTATTTACTACACCATAGGCAATAATAACGAACAAATTAGGAATCTGAATAAGTAGGAATAAATAAAAACGAAGTGTAAATAATTATGCACATTAATTTATTAGGTAGGTATTTATTCAAACAGAAGTCATAATATATTAACACTGACGATTTATTTATTTAGGACTGCGATATCGCGTTCGTTTAAAATTAATATGGCAACGATTTTATAAATTCAGGTACAAACAAAACAATAGACGGTCTAATTTATATAGCTAAATTATTTCTTATAAAATAACAATAATTTACTTTTAATAATTCCTAAATAATTTCACTTAATATCTTCGAAACCAAATTAGATATAATTTAATCAGTTCTCGTAGGAAGCTATGTCATGAATTTACACAAATATAAAAATATAAAAAAGTATGTACATAATTAATTCAGATTATAACATCAGTACAATGATAACTTTTAATTATAGAATACAATTTAGTAAAATTTTAACACATAGGAAGAGTTATCGACTGCGCATTTGATGTCTGCAATAATAATTTCACATTTTATATTACTTTCTGATTCAATAATATTCTGTAATCAAAAATACTATCAATAAATCTATTAAATATTATTTTATTCTCAACATTCGATTCAAATATATATATTTTTTTCTCTTTTCATTATTATCTTCCGTTAGGCATATCCGATATTGACATAACAGGGACTATTTCTAAAATCTAAATTTGTATAAAATTGTATTAAAATATTAATATCATTCATTTCGTATTTCTTAATATAATATTTACACACAAAAAGGAACATCGACGGCAGCCCTCGTGCCTCTGACCTCTCAAGCCTCGCCACCGCTAACGATCACAATTTATTGTCCTGTCGGAGGACACTCTACATGATAACAGTATAATCGGTACATTTGACATACAGTAACTCGACAAATCGTTATTGCAAATCGCATTCTGAAAACGAGTCGTACACCCGATATAATATCTACAACTAATTTTCTATATCACAAAAACGCTTTGCATCTTTCAAGCCTCATTGATTCGGGGTTCTGCGCCACATTCGTCTCCGGACCGTCCGCAGTCAGAACGAACACGGGAATGTTATTGAGAGTGCGAGCGGCCGGCACGCGAGCCCTTCGTGCGTCTCCAAGCGACGCAATCACTACTCCGTTCATGTCGCTGTTTCCGCGCCGCGTCAGTAGAATGACGGGTGCCAGTCGACAGCTGGATGCAGTGGCCCTGAAGCTAAAGGTGCAGCGTTAGGAACAGCACCCAGCGCTAAACAATCAAAGCAATAATTGGCTCCGCAATTATTGTCCCAGAATTGCTGCCCTTTACACTGGAATCGCACGGCGATTTCGAGTCTCTGTCCTGAAGTTATAGCCGGAACGTATAAAACAAATTGGAATCGGTCCGAGTAACCATCGCAGGACCCTTGAACGTATGTAGTCTGCAAGTCTGTGTAAGTTCTCCATCTGTTCATTGTGTACCGAATGTGTACGGTTTTGTGAAAGTCCAAGTTACGTACGCGCACGGAACCACATACGGTTACGTGCACGCCATCGCAAACCCTAGCACTCTCCAAACACACATTCTGTCTTTCCAGTTTGTCCGTGACGTCCCGCGGCAGCTGAAAAAGTGGAATCAAGGTGAGCGCGCCAAGTCGTTGAGGGCTTCGAACCGGTGGAGAATTTTGCACATCGCATCCTGTGAGATCATCATAAGCAGATTTCGGGATTACCGGTATTTCGTCCATAAATGTTTTTACGTCCGCTAAATCGAGTCCGAGGACATCTGCGAAGCGAACAATTTTTTTCCGTCCCGGTGTGCCGGGTGGGGTTTTGCCAGTCTTCAAGGAAGAACAACGTCGGACGCGTTGAGGCTTATCATCTTCCGTTTCTTGTTCTTCATTCGGAGTTTCTACACTTAAAAGTGAAGGTTCAATTTCTGGAGAAGGGGATACTTCTTTTTCATTAGGAACTTCACTGGTAATTATTTCTAAAGGTTCCGTTTTCAAACATTTAGATTCTGCTGGTTCTTCTTCTACTGTTTCTACTCGAGATACATCTTCATCCATAGGAATATCAACATCAATGAGTGATAAATTTTCTACGCAATCTGTTAATTCATCAACGCCATTTTCAACTTTTATAATATCATCGGCAGCGTCGGAAGGATCACTCTTAGCAGATTCAAACTCAGAGTCACTGTCAATTGTCGTACTGAGATGAAACGGTATAGCGCTGAATTCTGTCTTGGGTATCGTAGATGACGTAGCGTTATCAACTTCATCATAACTTTTCTGTCGCGCACAACCCTCAAACGTTATAGGGGAATATAGTGGTTTATCAACATGACCGTTTTCTCGTGGGGCTGGCTGAAGTTTCACGGGCGAGCTATCTGAGTAAAAGGCTGTAGCGAATTTAAATCCGTTCTTCCCTTTATCGTTCTGTTGCAATAACTGTTTCGCTTGTTCTTTTATTTCTGGATCCGAATCGACATCGTAGAAAGGTAGGTCCTGATCTTCGGTGGGGGATCGTTCAGGAAAAGGATGGTCGCATTCATCAATGGGACTGCATGGGCTCTCGCATTCTAATTCGAAATCGTAGAAAGTGTCGTGGTCGCGTTGTCCCGGGGAGGTTGGTGGTCTGTTGAGTTGAGCGTTTTCTCGGGTAAGCCAGCTGCTCTCACAGTCTTCGTCCTGTGTTCCGCTCAGGTTACGTAGCCGTGTTTGTAGGTGGCGCGCGAACGCGACGGCACGCCCTCGGCAAGACATCGGCAGTATCGATGTCAGACCGCACGGTGATCCTGCGCGATCTCCGCTCATCTGCGTCTGAAATGTTAAAATAAAAAGAATGTAATCTAAAAGCCCAGACCGTTTTTTTTAACATTTATAATACGTTTTCCAAATTTAAGAGATGATAAGGCATTTTTTTGTGGACTTCCACGAAACATGTTAGATACAGATAATGTTCATTTAATATAAATTAACACAAAACTTGAATGTCAAGAGTGAATGGCCCCATAAGATAAGAAAATATCTCAGTTCCAGCATTCCTGTGATTAGTATATATACATTTAATAATAAACTTAGGTACTGGAGATAAACGAACAGTTCTGATTTTGGATTGCAATGAAAACTAATTATTTATTATTTTAAAGCATCCATACTATACAACGCTGTGTTTTGTTTCCAATATGTTCCAATAGCGACCGTTATCAAATTATAATAAAAATAAACAATGTGACGAGAATATATCTATATAGATAATATTATATATAAAAAGTCGTCATGGCCTAAACGATAAAACGTCCGGTGCATTCGTGTTGAGCGATGCATCGGTGTTCGAATCCCAGGCGGGTAAGAAATTTTCTAATGAAATACGTAATCAACAATGTACACGATTGACTTCCACGGTGAAGGAATATAACATCGTGTAATAAAAATGAAACCCACAAAATTATAATTTGCGTAATTACTGGTGGTAGGACACGGGTAGGTACCGCCACCCTGCCTATTTCTGCCATGAAGCAGTAATGCGTTTCGGTTTGGAGTGTGGAGCAGCCGTTGTAACTATACTGAGACCCTTAGAACTTATATCTCAAGAT